TATACACTAAACAGAGACAAACAACATAAAACGAAATAAAATTTTAAAAAATGAAAAAAAATTAAATTAAAAATTAAAAAAAAAGCTTTATTCAACTTTTGTTACTTTTGTCTACTAAAGTAGCACAAAAATAGAAAAATTCATCCCAACATTTAAACGAAACACATAAAAAACAAACAATAAACATAGTGAACAACCAAAGCAAAAAAATTACAATGAATTTTTATTTTTTATATTTTATTTATTTATTTTTTATTAGATTAAAGTTGGGTTTTACAGCTTCTACATCGTTCCTTTTTTTCTTTAGTATTTAGTGTAGATATTTTGTCCAATTTTTCTGTTTGTTCGCTAAGTTTATTGTTTATTTTTTTATATGTATTGTTTAATTTTTCTTACTTTTTTTGCTTTTTACTAAGTTAAGTTGGCCAATAAATTTTGCCCAGGACAAAATGTTGAATTGCCAGATTAACTTGTCTCTCTGTTTTTACACCGTCGCCACTTTTTTTTTTACATTTAACGTAAAATTTCCACATTTTGGTTCGGTTTAAAGAAAAGCTCATTAAACAAAGAAGTTGTAAAATTTTCCAAGCTCTACTGCGAATTTTTCCAACGAGGTTACAATTTTTTTTAATGTTAAAATTAGCAGTTTTCGAAAGATTTAGTATGTTTTTGTACCAAAAATTAAATTGAATGTTCTAGAAGGGAGTTTAGTTAAAGAAAATTTAACGTTATTTTCAATTTTTTTTCTCAAGAAATGAATAGTTGCAGTTCAATGAAAACCGTATTGTTCAAAAAATATAAAACGTTGAATATCTGCGAAAGGGTTGAGAATCTGACCATAGTTCATAGTTAGAGATGTCAAACCGCTCGTCGAATTTCGTCACACGAGTAGTGAATCCCCCTGTATGTATTTTGATACGGAACAAAAAAATAAAAAAACGAGTTCATAAGTGCATGTGTAATGGAACTTACATAAAAAAAGAACTACAGTATATTCACATAGTTGTGTAAATGTAGAGGCTTATCCCCAATAACCAAAAAAAATTACGAGTACTCGTAGGGTCGTCTGATAGGAATTTATTAGCGTGAATGGGGAGGCCTACCCCCAAATACCCCAAGCAATATTGAGTAATCTGGGGTAGTGTGAACGAAGTCTGGTGTGGGAACGTATCGTGATCGGAGAAGGCATATCCCGAATCACCCTAGAAATATCGGGTACTCTGGGGTGGGTGAATGAACGAATAAATGTAATTTATTAGCGTAATTGGAGAGACATATTTCCAATCACCCCTAGGAATATCGAGTCCGCTGTGTAAATGAATGTGTTAATGTAATTTATTAGCGTGAATAGAGGAGCCTATCCCCATCTACCCCCAGGAATATCGAGTACTCTGGCGTAGTGCAAATGTTAAACCAGACTATAATGTTTTTACCTTGTTTCAGTGAATGTGTGTGTGTGTGTGTGTGTGTGTGTGTGTGTGTGTGTGTGTGTGTGTGTTATGTGTGTGTGTGTGTGTTATGTGTACTAATTTATCCACAACTCACGGGCCCTGAGGTACAGCGAGGCTAACAATAGTATAAAGAAATGAGAGAATTTTGGGTAGTATCACACATCACATCTCGGCTGTAGAAACAGGAAAAGAAATTAGTAGGTTTTCTAATAGGGTATTAAGAGAAGAACACGAGAGAGGGAGAGAGAGCTAGAGAGAGAGAGTGAAAGAGAGAGAGAGAGAGAGAGAGAGAGAGAGAGACCGAGTGCTGGCAATGACCAATTTTTCGGCTCTAAAACTTTTATATTTCAATTGCACACTCTTCCACAATGAAATTAATTTCCAACCTTTCCATTTAACGACCTCCTGTTATCACTGTATCTATCCGTCCATTCAGATATCTAAATACACATTTATTTGTCTTTGATTCTCCGAAGCTAATGAAGTACTCGGAACAGTAGATTGCGTTTTTCCACATACCCTTGGGAAATTTTTACGTCCTACGGATCAAGTTTTTTATATATTTTGTATTACGGTCTACGAACCCTTGTTGAAGAATTACGGATGGAAATGGAGGAGCGCTCCTGACAAAAGGGCCGTCTGATTGACTCAAATTTGATTTATTGAACAGGGGGTTGCCTGTGAATAGGAGGAGTTGATCGCCTGTCCATTTGGCCGGGGGTGGCCGACTCGAAGATCACAATAAGGCCCCCGGTGGCTACAATGTGCCAAATGACAGGACAAATTCACTCAACTTGACAGCACTTCGACTTTGTCGTTGCAATCCTTTTTTCACGGGAAACTGAGAAAAAAAGATTTGTTAATATTGCAACAATCATTTGTGGGTTTTGTTTTTATCTGATTGTGTAAAATGTCGGACTTTTCACTTTTTATCATTCCCTGCATCTTTTTCGTTGGCCTGTGATTGCAAGTTTTTCTAGAGGTTGTCAACTGCCAATGGAAAACCGCCGACCGCGGTCGTACGTGTCGGCCTTTCGTCAAAATCTGAAGACTCCAGAAACCGCGGTTAGTACTACTTTTTTGAAAAACCAAATCGCTACAATAAATAAAGAAGAGTTTACACACAATAAAGCATACTTGGACAAAAGTCGTGGGACTTGAATGGGAGGAACAACGGACCTCTTTTCCCTCTTTTATGCCACGGCCGATTCAATCTGTTGTCGGCCTAAAGATGCCGAGATACAAGACATGATTTATGCGACACGTTAAAAAAGAACTTGTGGACGAAACGGGCCCGATTTATCATCCCGTGGAATGTCATTATGAGCTGTGACCGCTGTGCATTAACATGATTAACTCCTCGCAGATGCGCATGTTGCGACATTTTTTGGCCGGTGTCTCTTTCTAAGTACGAAAGTAAAAATTTAGATGGTTGGATTCCATTATACAATAAGGACAACAGTCGAAGGAGTTTTGCGATAACCATTCCCAGGTTGGTCGATTTCGATGCTTGTGGCCCATCCTCCCTAGTTCTGGCAAACCGTTTCTTGGAGATCAAAACAAGGACGTTAGTCACACTAAAATAATCGAAAACAACGTTTGGTAAACTGACCGACACTAGTCATTAGGTTTGACTATTCTTGCTGGTGTACATTTCACTAATACGGGTTACACCTTCACTCCATCTTCCGTGGGGACGATGATGGCACTCGTATAAGTTCCTTGTGAACATGGAAACCAAAGATGGAAGACACATCTAATTTAAATATACAGGGTGAATTGCTACTCGTGCTACAAACTTCTCCAGTAGATTCTTCACCCTAAAATGAACAAAAAAGTTCATATTGTCCATGGTCCGATTCTCNGGACCATGGACAATATGAACTTTTTTGTTCATTTTAGGGTGAAGAATCTACTGGAGAAGTTTGTAGCACGAGTAGCAATTCACCCTGTATGTTTACACGAGTTTGTAGGGGCGCAATCTTGTCCTAGGAAATTGTCCCAACTCGGTGGTTTAAAAACATTACAAGCATGCAAAAGTTTCTGCCAATTCCTAATAAGCCTTTGAAGTTGGTGTGAAGTAATGATTAACAAAACTCAACCCTGGACAGCGTGAAGAGGCGATGTCATGTAATAAGTGATGAGCTCCGAATTTCCATTGAGCCTTCAAAGTTAAAATCCGAAATCCTCAAAGATGAAAGGGCGTGGTTTTTTATTCAGAGATTCTGCCTTGAGTGTTGAGAGGGTGAGATGAAGGTGAAAGATTTCTGCCAATTCCTAACACCTTCAAAGATTTTCTGGACTAGAACAATAAAGACTGAACAGGTGAGGTATTGTAATAAGTGGTTCAGCCAATTCTTCATACCATACTTAAAAGATGGACCTTATTAATGGTGAAGGACAAGGTCTGCGATTTAGAGATTCTTCTAATCCCTAATGACAATGTTCAGAGTTAGTTCGAGTTAGTTCGAAAAATGGTTAACGAAACCGTCAACCGGGCGAGGTGTTTTAGTAAGTATTCCAGCCAATTCTTCCTGACAATGTACAAAGTTGGTTCGACGCAATGGTCAACAATAGTCTCAAGATTGAAGGGTTGTACGAAACGGAAACCTTCAACGAAGGTCCTATCCAATAATCAACAAAACCAACAAGGGTGAAGGAACGAAGTCTTGTATTACATGATTCTGCCAAATCCTAATGACAATCTTCAATGTTAGTCCGAAGCAATGGTAAAAAATTCACAGGTCAGTAGTTACAACAACAATGTTGGATTTTTTGTCAAAATTGGTGGCAGTAGTAAATCACTATTCAGAATTTGTGGCAGTTCAAAAGTTGCGCATATCATAAAAAAACCTGTTTCATAAAAAATGAATACATAAATAATCCTCCTATGTTTATAACCGCAGGAAGCACTTTACACGTAATTTATTCCTTCATTACCGACGTTTACGAGAGATTCACGATTGGGATGGCCATTTACGCTTAAACCACCCCCGCCTCATCCCTTAAAAAGTCACGCTCAAGTTTTAACGAGTGCCGATACTCGGGTTCGCCGGGCCGCCGATCCTGGAAAAAGTTCCGCCCCGGGCAACGGAATAAATAACAAAGTGCGGCCTTCTTTAAATTTGCACTACAGTTAAACTAACGACCGCCCTCGGCTGAAGACTTGCCAAAAGTGTTTTGGACCATGGGAAAGGCTCATTAAAAACTTTGCCCATAATACGGTTAAGCCCCCCGACCAGGCCCTTATCATCTTTAATCTGGGCCCTTTATATTTATTTATCAGGGATTCAGCGAAAATAGGGCCTGCGTAGTTTTGCATTTAAATGTAACGAGTGGGGGACAAGTGGGGCTGATTGCACCCCTCGATCTTTGATAAAAGCCTAGGGGGTGGAACAAACCCTCCCTACATATTGATATTTTATGAACTTATCTCTCCAAGAAAGGGTCTGACCGCAACAGATTAAAGTACTATTCGTTACATATTTACATAATCGCATTCCCATAAAATTTATTGTTTAGTAATAAAGTTTTGGTTTGTTGTTACAGGTGCAAGTAGCCGTGAGAGAAGGAGATGCTCCTGGCGAAAGGAGCGAGGAGCTGGTCGTCGATACCGGCCTGGCGATCAAAGTCGAACTGGACTCAGGCAGATGGGCCGATGCCCCACGGCGCGTTCCTGCTGACCGGAGGACGCACGAGCTCGCCCTCGGAGCCGGGGCTGCTTTCGCCCTTTTCCTCATAGTTGCTCTAGTCGTATTTATTAGGACAAGGCGTTCCAGGACGCCGAAACTTTTACCCTACCAGTCGCAAAGCATCTCGAGAGGTAAGAATAAAAAAAATCTTAAAGTCATGACTATACAAGACCTACTTCCACATTACCACATTAAATACGCCAAAAACAAATAATGGACTTAAAGTGTTTTAATGGACAGGAGATTAATGACAATATGTATAACTCAACAAATGTAAAGAAACATATTATGTAGACACACATGCAAGACAATTTGGCCGTAATCGATCATCGTCATTTAATTATTGTTGCTGTGTTGGTCTAACAGAAGCGTTTTGCATTTCTCCATTATCACTATGGACGGGATGTTTAAAGACAGCACCTAGTTAGTTACATGTCCATATCGGTCTAGCCAAGGTTTTAGTGTACGATTTCCACTTTCGCATCGTTAGGCTTCCGACGTCAAATCTGGGCAGATGTTCCCATCTTTACTCACGGGTGTTGAGACTCAAGAGGATCTTTAACGTCCGGACCTATCACCGAGGGAACTTCTCAGAGCCGCTTGGCTGCTCTACTCCCGTGGTTCAGTATTATTATAACTGATGCTTCCGTTGACTTTTTTTTCTCTTTTATTGTGTCACGAGCGGGATGAAATCTGGGCAATGAAATACCCGCTTATTTTCAACTACGCTAGGTCAGTGCGAATGGTATGCAAGACGAAATCCATATCCTTATCCGTCCCCTCCGAACGGACATCACACAGTGTCCCCTCTAGGCCAGCACCTAAAGCTTTTGTCATGTGCCAAGCATATCTGTTAGATTGACCGATGGCCTAACCTCTCTCAACAGAGGTATACTGCTCTAGACTGCTTTCAGTACTGGAAGTAATGTTCCTTAGACGGCGTATTTAGGAGGTCTACGAAATGCTCCCTCTGTTTCGTGAAGTCCGCCGATAGGTTTGCAGTAAGTCTGGGTGCCCTGACAGTGATCATGAGGGGGGAAGAGATGGGAATGAGGAAATATGTGTAAAAGTTCCCGTACTAAAACGGGAAGAGGGTCCAACAAGAAGAGGTCCTATGGGTCCAAAACGATGCAGTGGTTTGGCCGTCTTAGGGCCTCGTCAGAAGAGTTCACCTCATCAGTCTCTTCCTAGGTCACATCCACATTTTTTTCAAGTGCAACCGCTACAAAGTCGATGGTGGATGTTAATCTGCAAATCGAGATGTTTTTACCAACCGTCTGGCAGTTTCTCAGTGAAAATGGCGGGGGTGAGTGATACTGAAAGCTCGTGAGTATAGGTCAACCCAATAAGTAACCTACTGCTAGTTCGACTTGTAACCACTACAAAATCTTGTAACCTACCTCTAAATTATGTAGTTTGATCGTTACCGACCATTTTCATGTTGCTTTGTTTACTGTTTTCAACGGTTTCCTAGAGGCTGGCTCAATCTGCGAAGATAAGAAGAAAAACTCAGAAACGACCAAGCTACTGTTTAATCTCCTTGCAGATCCCAAGAGGAAATGTCGCAGTTTAACATATTCGGGTTGACCTACCCCTAATAGGTTGGCCGTTTTAGTTTGTTCCCCTTAGCCTTTAGTGTCTGTCTGATTTTTCTTCTGAAAGATGACTAAAACCATGAAGATATGAAGATCGGCAAAAAACTAAATTACTTGTGCCAAACTGCAGGGTTAACATACCCCTGAATTATGTAATTTGGTCATTTACGGCAATTTTTATCTGCTTGCCTTTGCTATTTTATCTTTTTTTATATGCCTTCTAGTAGATGACCGATAAAAACGGCAACCACCAAATTACAGGTTCACACCTCGCACTACAATGAGAGAAATATCGCAATTAAATTAAAATTGGTTGACCCATCCCTGTATTGTGTAGAATACATAGGTGGTGGTCGTTTCCGACCATTTTGATGTTTGCTAAACATCTGAAAGATAACCAAATTGGCTAAGGTAGGTAGACCAAAATCATCGGAAATGACCCACCTACAGCGTTTTACCAATTAAATATATCTTAAAATTTGTTAGTTAATCACCTCAGTTACATAATAGTGAATCTTCTTTTATTTTCTTACTATTTAACCATTTTATCATTGCTGTATTTTTCAAACAGTTCTATTTTTGTCTTTTTCAGTTTTCCCCCCGATGGTGCACGTCGTCGAAGAGGACAACCACCACATGCCCGTCGCAGGCCTCCCCCGAGGCACGCTTCACGTTTGAGCCCCAAGCCCCGACTCGAGAAAGAAGAGATATCCTCAAAAATTGTAATAAATCTTTCCCCCCCGCCCCAATTTTAAAAAAGGCAAAAAAACGACCCGCTGTATATATATCGCCCACGCCCTTCGTGAAGTTCCTGTGATATACCACACTTCGCTTCCAGACGAGAATATTATTTTGAGTTTGTCCAAATTGTGTATATTGTTCATTATTTTGCTCGTAAAATTAAACTGTTTTCGATTATTTGTAAATTTGTATATTGTATAGACTGATTTTTATTATTTAAAGTATTGAAACAATACAATGTTACTTTACTTTGCAAAAGTTGACAATGATTTTTTTCCTTTAAATATTTAAATTGTATATGTATGTTTTTATTATTTTGTAATTTGTAATACCTTGTGAAGTGTTGTATGGAAAAAAAACTGGAGTCAAAAATAAATTTTAATTTTAAATAGTCCTAGTCGTATTATAGTGATTTACTAGTGATTTTTGAATTTAGGGTATTTTCTTTTTAAAAAACGGTTTTTGTTTTATTTTCAAAGCAAATCCTGGATAGAAAAGAAAAATTAAAAGTTGGGAAAAATTGATACAGTCAGTAGTGCGTTGAAAATTCGCAATATTATTTTTTTTAATGATATTGACTTGCCTATATATCTCTATAAATTTTTTAAACAATAAAACTACTGTCTGTATCATAAATTTATTTTAGTACGTTTAGAACAGTTCGTTGATCAATAGGAGCTAGAATATTTTTGTTTCTTTAACTGCAAATTTAACAAACAAAAAATTGAAATTCTCAAAGGGAAAGTGGTCACAAGTGACAATCATGGCTCGGCATGTTCTTTTTCTGTTTAATTTTATATTGGAAATATTTTTATTCTTCTATTGTTTCTATTGGAAATGAGCCTCTTTTAGAAAATTGGCATTCCTGAAAAGAGAGCAAAATTATATGAAAAAAAGCGATTTTCAACTGACGTTAACGATAAAAATTGAACCGAGTTCCTTCGAGAAAATTATATTTTTATATGTGTCTCAGAGGATTCCCTCCTGGATTGGCGCGCTTTGTAAATTAAAATATAAAAAGAAAGAATAAACTAATAAATAAAATTTTTAAAAAAGTGTATATAAAGAGCATTAGGCGTGCTCATGGTGTCCGTACGGAAGTCGTCCCGGGCCGAGAGGTCATCTACCCAAGGTAGGACGTCCTTCTTCCGGCCCAGGACGTCCAATCGTCTCCTTTCCTCAAAATACAAGCCCCTCCTACTGACACCATATAACCTAATTATTAATTGTATCAAAGTTCATTGTATAATATAATAAATATTCTATATATATAAATATTTAAATTGAGGTTATTGAATACTAGAAACTGTTCAAAATCGATAAGAAAATGAAAATTGTACATAAACTACTTACATAATTAATGTAAATACTTATTACTATATCTTTTTTTCCTTTGTAAGAAATATATTTAAAAAAAGAATTGTGAAAAAAATATTTTAAGTTATTTGTTTTCTTTTTGTAATATAAAAATTAATAATCTTTATTGAATCAATGTAATAATTCATGTTTGTATTTGAGTCTATAAACATGCGTGCATAAGACAAAATTTAAAAAAATAAAATAGTTACTTTGTTCAAATGTGTTATTTATCATTGATATACTATTCCACCACCCTAGTAGTGACGTGCGATTCCAATCGATATGAGTAAAGTATCGAGTATTTTCTTTCGATACCTAGTATTTTTGGCATCGAATATTGTATCATTTGATACAAGTACTATATCAAATATTATTTGTACTGTCGGAAAATGTACTTAAATAGATTTGTCGTCGAGTGTTCAAGTAATATTGAATTGTTATTTACCGATCGAAACTTAACCTCTAATCAAACTGGGAGTTGACTAGATACTGTTAAGAGCGCCTACTAGCGGAGATTTTTAATTGGTGGTTGGTAACTCTGCTGATAATTCTGGTAACTCATAATTCTTTCCCGCGTCGCACCTCGGACTTTCAATTCAGTATTTTCTTATAAAATGTTTTGGTCTTTAAGTCCCTCAAATGTTTTCGCCTTCCTTCTCGTAGGTAGATAGCTAATCATGTCTCCTCCCAAAAGTAAAGCAGGAGGTTATTTTTAGGTTTTAGGTTTTCTTGTAAACTCTGGGGAATACAGCGGGAATAAGTCTTATCTTTTCAAACATTTAAAAACCAAACACCCGTTGATCAATTTTCTCAAAACTCGATAACGATAAAATTGAAATATCACTTATGTTGAAATGTGTTGGCAGCTTGTTTTCTTACCTGCGTACCTACTGCATGAAAAAATACTTAAAAATGAAAAAAAACTGCCATATCTTGATTAGCTTAACGGATGAGCGAATTTTAACCAAAGTTCACAATAGTTATACAGAAATCGTGAGATGCGGTCTGGTGAGATGTAGGTTTCAGACAAACATTTTCTTTATCGTCCAACATTTCGATCTTTATTCTTTATTGAGATCATCTTCTGGACCTGGGATTTACAAACATTGTTTAAATTTAACAAAAACATGTAGGATGTGGAAAAAAAGTGCATTTATACAATGCAAATAAATATTTTTTGATAATCAATCAAACTATTTCTACTCACTCAAAGTGGTTTTTTTTGCGTAATTGTGCTATTCTTACGTGTCAGTGAGATATTGATGTTTTATGCTGATATGTTGATATTTTTTGACAAGTTGGATTTTGAAGGGGTGGGGAGGGAAGTCGGTATAGAAAGACATTTTTGTATAACGAGTCGGCTTCTTTGAGGTTGAGGCTCTATACCGACTTCCTTCCCCACCCCTTCAAAATCCAAGTGTATAAACATAAAACAACAATATCTCACTGGCACTCTCGACACGACACGCAAGAATGGCACAATTACGCAGAAAACAAACACTTTGAGTGAGTAGAAATACTTTGGTTGAATATAAAAAAATATTTTTTTGCATTGTATAAATTCACTTTTTTCACATCTTAGATGTATTTGTTAAATTTAAACAATGTTTGTAAATCCCAGACCCAGAAGATGGATCTCAATAAAGATCGAAACGTTGGCACGACAAAGAAAATGTTTTTCTAAAACCTGCGTCACACCAGACCACATCTCACGATTTCTGAATAATCATCGACAAACGGTCACTAATCATCACACATGTCCACAATAGTTTTGTAGATCATTTGTGATAAGATGGTAGATCATTTATGATTAAACGAAAAACTACTCATATGAGCAAGTACTCGTTAGTATCGAATATTTCTTTCGATACCAGTATCGTGTACTGTTATTGAATATTTTCTTGTATCGCACGTCACTACACGCTAGTGGACCTGGTTTCGAATCACTGCATTGTTCATGTATTTTTGATTGAAAATAATATTTAAAAAAAAGTATTGTAAAAGTGGTTTGAATTTTCGTCCGTGCCACCCACGTTTGACTGACAACACTAGTTGGACGTTAAGCCCTCCTGTTTCGCATGAATTACTTTACTTTTTTAATACGCCGACTTTACTGTCGAGATGTTTTTTGCGGTGAATCAGACGGCGGAATTAGTTGACCCGAAAGGCCTTTGATCCGTTGCGAAGTGCGCAAACAGTTCACAGTGTTGTTGTAAACACATGGCGACAATTAGCGGAATGTATGACAGGGTTCGTTGTCATGTGCTCTAGTTTTAGATGGAAATGGGAGAAAATTCAGTCAACTCAAGGTAAATAGCTTGAAATGTTTATATCATTACCAACATAGAAACTGACAATTGGGACTCTATATGATGTCCTTTAATGTCTCAATTTGGGAGGAAAAAATCGATCTATCAAACAGAAATACATTCTGTTAATATATTCGCAAAAGGGCATTTTAAAACAGGTTACGCTAACAAATTCTTGGGTTCCAGAGCATAAAGGAATTTTCGGTAATTAACAAGTACCAATGACACAATATTAAAAATTATACAACGAGGAAAGTAAACACATATTGAACCGTCCATTACACTCACGGTCCGCTACTTATCGCTTTATTTTTTACTCATCATTTCTTCTACTCCTACTGTTACCAAATATAGTTGTTAGTTATAGTGAAGTTTTTCTTTTAATTTAAATTAATTCAATTAATTTTCATTGTTCACGTACTAACTTCTAAATTTCATATCCAGCATTGTATTTTCGCCGTTCAATAGAACTGCACCAAATTCTTGGAAGAAAAAAGAAAACTCGACGATATAGGAACAAATAAAATCATAATACATATAAGTAGTTCAGGGTTAACTGTGAAATTTAATCGCAAATCAAAAATCATTATGAAATATGCGGTGTTTAGTGACCGTTAGTCAATTATTATTCGGAGATCGTGAGATGCGGTCTGGTGTGACGTGGGTTTTAGAAAAACATTTTCTTTATCGTGCCAACGTTTCAATCTTTATTGAGCCCTGAAGATGATCACACCAGATCACATCTCACCATCTCCGAATAATTATGAAATAGTATGAAAAAAAATTAATAAATTCGGATCGCCTCTCGATTTCGGTTAAAATGTATTATTAAAGTCTTCTAAAGTCTTGCTATCTACGATATATATATATATATATTAGGCCCAGTTCAACTTCAAATACGTCCCTGTACGTCCTGCATGCATCATTTTGAAGGATTTTGTAAAAAACAAAAAAACAATGGTGCAGTCGGATTTTAAATTAGTGAAAAAAAATGACAAAGTTATATAACTAAATAAAGAAATTTAGTTTGCTATTTATTAAACAAATTTCATATTCCTACTGCCTGCCTTGCGTAAAGATGCAAAGATTTGCTCTTTTTAACCACTCTTTACCGGTGCTCAGAGTGGGTCAGGGGAGATGGATTGACAAGCATTGCAAGTTGTTGAACTGAGGTTGCTCGGATATGATTGGCGTAGTTTTTTAAGTGACCCCTACAGAAAATAGTCAATTGGAGTTAAATCGGGTGATGGATGAGACCAACAGATCCGGCCATGAGGTCCTTCCACCTATCCCGGAAGTGAGGATTCAAATAACGTGTCACCTGGATCAAGCTGGAGAATCAGTCGTTGTGAAGAACTTCATCTAATAGCGTTGGTAAAACCTCCCTCAATAAATTGAGGAACTGAGCACCATTTAAATTATTTTTGTAGAAATAAGGCCCAACTGTGAACTGTGAGCCTGAAGATGACAAGAGTATGAAATTCTCGTATTTTCCTCTGCCCATTTCGAATATTCCCAAGTTTTAGTATGCCAATAGAAGTGATCTTGGGTTCATCAGTTCATAGGATGAAAGAATGTTTTCTTCAGCTTCCCAAATCGACATTTATGCAAGGAACGCCTGCCATATTCGGAGTTCCCCAAATCCCTGGACAAGATGAAAGCAATAGGGCTTAAAATTGTAAGTCCGGCGTACATCTCTAATTTTATTTTTTGAAAAACCTAAAACCCTTCCAACATTTCTTCCTGCAACTTTGACTAGAACAACTTTTTGACCTAACTTTGTCATTTTTTGACCAATTTAAAATCCGATTGCACCGTTGATTTCAGTGTAAAAATCTTTTAAAATGATGTGGCAGATTGTATATGGTCATACATGAAATTTTAAGTTTTTTATAGCGTCATTGGTTCAAGAGAAATTTAGCTGGGCCATCTAAAAAGGACACGCTGTGTGTTTGTATTTGTTTCTCTCTCTCACTCTCTCTCTCTCTCTCTCTCTCTCTCTCTCTCTCTCTGTCCGCCTGTCTCTCCCTACCACCACTAAATATAATGGATTTAATAAGTAAAACGAAGTATAACTTCACTAACAGCTCCCCGTGGCCACGTCATATGTCGCCGAGGATCGAATCCTGATTACCCGACATTAGAAAAATGGCAAAAAGGAGGGAAAATTCGAAAGGTAGGTTGAAGTGGGAAGTGTTTAAATTTAAATATAAAAGCGAATTAATTTTCTCCAAGAATAGACTAAGATCTTAACATTTGATATTGTTCCATTTACGTTTTAGTAGTCAATTGACCAAATTAATTATTCTTTTTATGTAAGGTCATGGTTGAGATAAAAAAGTCAGTGTTAAGAGCGGGATTCGAACCCACGACCTTCGGA